CCCCGTGGCAGGGAGGGATAAATTGATGCTCATTTTTCAGAATTAGACTTGTGCTTTATATATGAAGCCTGAAATAGATGAGAATTCCATGATTTGTCTCTAGATTTGGAGGATTATATATAGCTTTTGTTTAATCATCCTTTTTCTTGATTTCTCTATGTAGTTTAACTCCTACACACAAGTTTACACTCCAGAGTTCTCCCAGCCTCCAGCTGAGAGTGCTGCTAACTTGAAGCTGTCTGTTTGGGACTGGGATTTACGCTACAGCAATAAACAGATATTACAATTCCATAACCCTGGCTATGCCCCGAAACACTGCCCACATTCCTGGTTTCCTAGACAGCAGGTGAGGTGTCTAAACTTACTAAATGCTCGATTCCCCCAGGCTTATGTTCCTAGAAGGTAGAAAGACAATGTCTGAACTCCTCAGGGGAATATATCTTACTCTTGTACAGCTATTGCTTAAGAGTCCCTGTCACCATGAAGATAGAAGCCCTAGAAAGGCGGGGGCCATCTTTTTTGTCTCCCTTGTTTCCATTTATTAGTCTTTCTGTCTCATGCTCACATTATTTATTTATTTATTTATTTATTTATTTATTTATTTATTGTGTGTGTGTGTGTGTGTGTGTGTGTGTGGCCAGCTCAGCCCACCAGGGGGCGGGCTGGCTGGCATGTGGTGCTGGGGGATTGAACCGCGGTCCCTGTGCTCTGCTGAGCTTGTTCTAAGTAGGTGCTTTAGACCACTGAGCCATCTCACCAGCCCTCATGCTCACATTTTATAGGTTTCTCTAAAATCAACTTTAATCAGCTCTGAGCTCTAGTTGAAGCCTAATGAAGAGGGTAGATGAGAGTTCTGTCAGGGAGAGCAGAAGTTCTGAGGGGGAGGCCTGTAGTTTCTGTAACTAGTGCAATGGGTGGGTGGTAGCTGGACACCTCCTTTGTGACCCAGACTGGGGAAACTGGGGTTATCTCATTTTATCAATTGTTGGCTAACATCACTTTCCCCTTTAGCCAAACCTCATGGTTCCTGGTCCCCCAAATTCTATGTGGCTCTTCTCTAGAGGGGCCCTAACCCCCCTGAATCAGCTCTGTCCTTGGCGAGACAATCCCTCCCTGCTGGCAATGTCTTCTCGATGGCTCCCTCGACCTGCTAGCTCCTCTGAAAGCCTGGCTGATCAGGAGTGGGGACTCCCCTCACACTGGGGAGCCTGCCCTTTACCTCCAGGGCTACTGCTGCCTGGATATTTGGGACCTCAGATCAGGCTCTGGAAACGCTGCTACCTGAGGGGAAGGCCTGAGATCCAGGTAAGAAGATACGGCTTGGGAGTGGGAGAAGGGGCATGGCCACTGAACTAGACAGAGCTGCAAAGGCAGCAGCAAGATTGGAATGTGGAGTACTGGTCCCAGCTGTTATCCATAGAGCAGTTCTGGGATGGGGTAGGGGTGGTTGTAACAGGTGAGCAGTTCTGGGGTGGGGGCGGGGGTGGTTGTAACAGGTGAGAAAAACTGATTGCGGCTTAGATTCAGTAGAAGTTAGGGCATCATTGGAAGGCAAAAGTACATTCAAGATACCAGAAGTAACGGACAGATAATAGAAGCAGAAAGCTAGAGCTGCAATAACATTCCTCTCCACTCTTTCCCTCATTCTCAGATGGGGCTCTCAGCTCCCACAATCACTGGCCTCCAGGATGAGCTCTCCCAGCTTCAGGAGTTATTAAAGAAATGGACATCAAGAATATCTCCTGAAGATCATTATGACAAAAGAGATCCAAATACCATTCTCCCCCAGTCCTGCTGACTGGCGCGGTCAGAGGCAGGACAGAGGAGGATCTGGGGTGAGGAAGGGCCAATGTAACTGCAGTTTTGCCTATCTGGCCACGGCCTGTTTTCACATTCCAGCTCTTAAACAAGAACACTTTGTAGATTCAGTTTCTACAGCAGATGGCGGTGCCAACCTCCAGCTCTTGTGTTTTCTTTGGTTCCTAAAAATATTTTTGTTCTGATTTGAAGAATTAAGAAAAACTATCTGAAAAGGTGAATCTCATCTCTTTTGGATCATGCTGTTAAAATCATGAGATCAGCGATACTGTTCCTAATCCCCAAAAAGATGGCCTAGAGACCTCATTCTCACCCCTTCCTGCTGCAGCTGCCATGATTCCAGTTTCTATTTTTTCCCTTACAGTTTTCTGTGGGAATAAGGTAGATACAGGAGACGCCCTCTCCTTTTCTGGCTTTTTCTTTCTTTTTTTTTTTTTAGTGGCGTTTCTATTAAAGGAGTTTATTAAAGGGCAGTATTTCTACACTTTGCTGGCGTTGCTTATTGTGATTAAATAATTCTAGGTGCCAAAGAATAATGTTGGGGCTGGGGTCAGAACAGGAAAGCACCCACATTTCTGCCACAGAAATAAGGGAATTGAGCAAGTGCAGCGCTGCAGAATTCACATAAAATTTAAAAAGCTTTTTTCCCCTGTATCGTTCATTTAGAGGTCGATGGGACAAGAGTATAGTAAAATATTCCTGTAGATGTGTTCTGGAGGTTGGGGCGCAAGCTTCGATTCCAAACACCCCCAATCCTTGGTCACAACCAGAATTGAAGCCTCAGCATCCAGCCCAGACATCACTCCAACTCAGACGCGGCGTAACCTCCTCCTAGTAGGAAAATAAAACACGTGGGGCCCAAGGCAGAGCTGCGGGGCCTGGATAGATGGCAGCCGAGCCCACAGGTTGGAGCTGGGGGCTTCCTCAGCATGCTCTCCTCTTCGGGTACTAAAAGAAGGATCACTTGGCTACAACCATAGGAAGAAGCCCTGTTATTTTAGCTTTTGGATTTACACTTTTGGGTGGAGTGTAAAATCTTTAAAAGACTTAAGAGAGTCTGAATTTCCGTTTTACCCCCAGCACCGGGAGGCGTCGCCCAGTCAAACTGAAACCCACAGCCACACACCGCGTCCCTCCGCCTCAGCGGCGCCTAAGATGGCCGCGCCCGCTCCCGGCCCCGCCCCCACAAGGTCCTTCCGCACCCCCCCTACCCCGCCTTCGCCCCGGAAGCGGAAGTAGTAATTGAGGTCAGCAGGCGGGGCTACCGGTTGGCGACGGCGGGAGCTCCTTCGCCATGGCTGCGGGGCCGATATCCGAACGGAATCAGGGTAACTGAAAGGGACGAATCCTGAATGGACCCAGAGGGGCTGAGATGCCCTGACTAGCGACAGCAGCGTTTCTGTCAGTCAGGGAGACCAGAGCCTTCGGCTGCAGTGAGGCCGGCCCTCGCGTTTTCTGGGGGCGGGGTGGTTGGGTGCAGGCTGAGGCCTGTGTGTGTGATGCTTCTGCGATTAGTCCCTTTCTGTTTGCTCACCAGAAAGGAAACGAGATTAAGGAGAAACCCAGTGAGAATGACAAAATCTGCAGGAGAATATAAATTATATTTTTAGAAGATTCTCTGGGTCCTAGGAAGTTCATGTGCTTAATCTTAACTTTTTTTTTTTTTTTGGCCTCTACCCCCATCCCTACCCCTAATTTCCCTCCCTTCCTGGATTCTGGCTTCATGTTCCCATCACCTTCCTTCCTGTTATTCTCACCCTGCCCTCACCATCTGCCTCCCTTCCTCCCTCGTTCCTTCTAGATGCTACTGTGTACGTGGGGGGCCTTGACGAGAAGGTTAGTGAACCACTGCTGTGGGAACTCTTTCTCCAGGCCGGGCCGGTAGTCAACACCCATATGCCAAAGGACAGAGTTACTGGCCAGCACCAAGG